AATATGTATGAGGTCATAGATTTTTCTTGCCTATTCTATGAACTTTGAGAAACAACGATAGTTATAGAAAGGCTTTCAGGTCTTTTGTTCATAGGGTTGCTATGAGTTGTGCTCGACCCGATGGCAATCAACAACAACAATATTTCTGGTGTGTCTTTCTGTTTTCTTGACCAGTATGCTAGAAGTGTTGATCTAATCAGATAATCAGCATTTATATAATAATTAAAATTATAATAAATAACTCTGCAAGTGAAGTCATTTTTAAAACAGTAGATTCCCTGATATAAAATAAGTGGACTTCAGAGAATGACCGTTTCCCACTCATTTTATTCCAATGCTACTTATTTACATTAGTTTTAAAATTATAGAAATAACAAACATTGCAAAGAGAATTGGGGAGGGAGGCCAGGAGGGAAAATGTACGCGAATGAATTAGTGGAAACTAATCTGTCTGTGAACATTCACTAAAGTAAAAATTTTTTAAATTTACAGAAATAAGGGAATTCTACTTTAATTTCCTGAAAATGCAAACACGTATTAAATATTTTGATCATTGTTTTCTCCTATTTTACCATCAACCTGCCAAGCTTTAAAACTGTTCATTGTTCCTCTTACTTTCATTTCTAAAGGCAAACATTATTCAGAATTTAGTATGTATCTTTTCAATTAGGTATTTTTAAATCTCTTTATAAATACGTATTTTCATATATGCACACACATGTATTTTTAAAGGTTTTAAAACATATGTTATTTGGTGTTTAATAATAAATTCAATGTGATGCCTGTAACATAAATCCCTTGTGTATTATTTAAAAGAACAAAAACTAATTATATAAATTCTATCCTTTCCATCAATATTCATATCATATAAATAATCCATAGTGTAACAGGAGAGCTGAGTCCTAATAAGTGACTCTAATAGCTATCCTGATAATTCATTCCAGGCCCTCCAGATAATACCATATTGTATTTCAGGAGGCTATTTTAATTTCAAGAAGGGTAAACTGGATGAATTTCAAGGGACTGCAGATTCGATATGGGAACAAAGCATTCAGTTTGATTATAGATTTGATAATGACCTTGTTCTTAAACTCCAGAAGTGTTATATAATTATTATATAATTGGACACAGCAATGAAGTCATCCATTTAAAACCTGGAACTTTGTGAACTACTCCAGATCCGCAATGAGCACTCTGCTTACTTTCAGCCGAAGAAGAGAAAATACATCTGGTTATTGAGGTTCTGGAGGAGTTTCCCAGGATTGCCCAGGAGTAAGGGCGACTGGTCAGGTTGAACAGGTTTCTGAGCTGTTCTGTGAATGCCGCGTGCCCACGGTTTGGCACCTATCTCTTGATTTTTCTGGGAAGAAGTTATTTCTCTTCACATAAAATCCTACAGCAACATTTCTCGCTCACATTCATTGGCAGCGGAGCCTGAAGGCTCATCTTACTGGGTCTCCTGACTTGACTCTGGGGATGAGGTGCAATGCCCAGGCAAAGGCCAGCGGTTGTCTCCTGGAGGGTTTCCTGGTAGTTCATCTGCTAAGCCACCTTCTGAAAAACCAGGAAGAAGGATGAACAATGAAGTCTCAAGCTAAGATTATTTTTGGGTTTTCAAATTTTTTTAAATTTAGTTTGTTTATTTTTCATTTCCATGAACATCTACAGAGATTTTGGAATTCCATTCATTCATTGTTGCACCCTTCTCCCCGCACAAACCCTCCCCCCCCCCATTTGCTCCTCTCCTTGAAAAGCAAAAGAAAAACCTCCCTCATTGGTACACAATCCCCTCGCACCTCCCCAAACCCCACCCCCTACCCCCAAATATAATCCACTCTGCAACCCTCATTGCGTACTCCTACGACAAAAATAATGCCCTAAAATATAATACTTTTAGACTATTCTCTCCCCCATAGACTTCAATGCCGTAAACATATTTCATCCAGTTTTTCTCAGTCTTACCCCACCCCAATGCCAGCCTCATTCTGCAACAGTGGCACCATATAGCATTTGTCCCTTTGTGACTGAGATACCTCACTCAGCATAATGTCCTCCAGGGTCACCCATTTTGAATAATATTGCAAGATCCTTAAAAAAATATGTCATCCTTGCGCAGGGGCCATGCTAATCTTCTCTGTATCGTTCCAATTTTAGTATATGTGCTGCCGAAGCGAGCACGAGTTTTCAAAATTTTAATTAATGCTACTTAAAAATACCATCTTGCCCTTCCACTGCCTCTGAGCATTCATTTGAGGGTCAGCCATGAGTCAGTAGTACACAACAACAGTATCTGATGTTTCGGTTTTTTGTTTTCTTTTGTTTTTGTTTTATTATTATTATTTTGTGTGCATGTACCGTTAAATTGGATCTGACTGGTATAGAAGGAGATTGTCCCTCCTTCTCCAGCAGAGCATCTGGTGGTTTCGAACCGTGCGCCTCTGGGGTTGCGTGCAGCTTCTTGCCACTAGGCCACCAGAGCTCCCTTACCATCTTGTCGTTTTAGCGCATTTTATCATTAATAAATAGCTCATGGCGAGATGATCTATTAACTTTTTAGAAAAGGACAAGTGCCTAACAATTCTCCAAGTTTGTTTTGAGTTAGGAAGGCGTATTTACAGCAATGTAGGGAGCTCTGGTGGCCTAGTGGTAAGAATCTGTGCTGCAATGCCAAAGGCATGAGGTTGGAATTGGAATTTGCCAGCTGCTTCATGGGAGGAAGATGGACAATCTCCTCTTGTGGGGTTACTGCCTCTGAAAACCCGCTGGAGGATCAGCTATGGGTCAGTTCCGACTTGAACGTACACACAGCAAGTATCGATTCTCCAGTTGGTTTTCAAAGGCTATAAAGGCTATCTCCATATCGTTTCAATCTATATGCAGAACAGATTATCTGGGAGGCTGGGCTCTATGAGGAGAAGTGAGGCATCAGGATTGGAGGTAGACTCATCAACAATCTGCGTTATTCAGATAACACAACATTACTCACTGAAACTGAGGAGGACCTGAAGTGCTTGCTACAGAAGGTCAAGGATTGCAGCCTTAAATATGGATTGAAGCTCAACGTCAAGAAAACAAAGATTCTCACCTCTGGGCCAATTGGCAGCATCATGATAGATGGTGAAGAGATTGAGATTGTTGACAGCTTCAGTTTGCTTGGCTCTACAATCAACACTCTTGATACCAGCAGCTAGCAAATTAAAATATGAATTGCATGGGGAAAGTCTGCTGTCAGAGACCTCTCCAAGGTACTGAGGAGGAACAATGTCATTCTGGAGACTAAGGTGCAACTGATACAGGCCATGGTCTTTGCCATTACTTGCTATGCTTCAGAGAGCTGGACAATGACTAGGGATGATAGAAGGAGAGTTGATGCCTTTGAGCTGTGGTGCTGAAGAAAAGTATTGAATGTACCATGGACTGCTAGGAGAACAAACAAGTTCATACTGGAAAGGTGAAGCCAGACTGTTCCTTGGAGGCAAAGATTCTGAAGCTTCGTCTGACATACTTTGGACATGTTGCAAGGCAGGATCAGTCCTTGGAGAGGGACGTCATGCTTGGGAGGGTGGCGGGACAGCACAGGAGGCGAAGACCCTCGATGAAATGGATTGATTCAGTGACTGGGGTAATGGGGTAGGTGTGTCGGAGACAATAAGATTGGCACAGGATAAAACATGGTTTAGGGCTGTTGTACAGAGTCGCTATGAGTTGCAAGCGACTTGACGGCACATAACAACATAAATGGCACAGGGACAGATTGTTCATCTTTCTAGCAGAGTAAGAAAACCTAAAATGAGCATAAAGTCCTTTTGGAGACTCAATGATCGTTCTGATGTAAAAGAGCTGAGTCTATTTTAGCTTATAAGCATCTTCAACCCCTTCCTCACAGATCTGTGAATGTTAAACCAAACCAAAACAGACCTATGATTAGTCGAATTGTGGCTTTGGTGTTTTGCCCGTCTTCTTGTACTTTTGCATCTTTCCTGGAGAACAAGCTTTATTCTTTTATTCCATTCTGCAGATGAAGTTCAATATGGTCAGGCTACCTGGTCAAAGATCAGCCACGAAGTAGAGGTGGGAAGAGCCCCGCTAGCAGCCAGGCAGCCTGCATACTCTCTTCACCTACAAATGGTGCAGGGGACAGTGAAGGGACACACATGCGCCAGGCTCTGACGCCTGGTTGCTGTGTGACCTGGGGCTCCTGACCGCGGTGGAAGCTTCCCTAAAGGGAGGAAGAGTTGGGTGATCTACAGGCCGCAGGAGCGATGGTCAGGCCACCTCTCAGTGCCAGTGCGGGCGTGTGGGAGGAGGTGCCAGCGAGGCCCTCAGGATCTACCCGAGCGCCCTCTCCACTCACTCCTGCTCACTGCACTAACCAGGCTCTCACCACCACATTTGCTAGATGGACGGGCACTACCTCTTCCAGCGGCAAAAGTCTCGCCCTTGAGCTTGCCCCTGCAGACACCTGCCCCCTCGCGCGCGGCCTCTCCCCACTGAGAGCTTCATGGGGAGCGGCCCTCGGGCAGCTCTCCACGTGGAGTTCCCACACACACTATGAAAGTCCTGCGCTTTGGTGCTGAAAGGGCGCCCATGTGTTCCAGACGGGGAGGCGGAGAAAGTGGAACAGCCGTGGCAGTGACCATGCGCGTCCCCACGCTCACCCTCTTGCCCCGCAGGCCGGCCTCCTCCCAGGAGCTTCAGGCCTGGGGAACCCCAGGTCTCGCGCCCTGTCTGGAATTCGCACGCCTCACGTCCGCGCGTCCGTCTGT